CCTTTTTTTATGGAGTTTTTAATTCCTTATCTTTGAAGACCTGGTTTTGGAGAAATCAAGCTGAAAGCAGTTCACCCCTGAGATGCTATTACTGTGATCTCAAATGACAGTCCACTAAAGGTCTGATATGCGATTATGGGAAGGTGTTCGTAGGAACCACAGGAGAAATGTGGAAATGATCAGCAGCACATTTTTCTATTCTGCCATACATAAATGAGATTTCTTAGAATCATTTATCACTATTGCATTGCACTATAAAAACCATTCTTTCTTGCATATTTTCTTCTAGCTACCTTCACATTTCTCAGCTCCCTTGTAGAATAAAACCTTCCCTAATGGTAGCAGATCAGTATCCTGACACACATTTTCTTGTCAAGTCACTCCAACTGAACTTCATTTTTTTTTGCTACAGTAAGACTGCTCTCTTCAAGGTGCTGCTGAGTTTCATGTTTTCAACTTTGAATGGCACTTCCCTGATCTGTGCTGCCCAACTGTCACACCATTGGACAAGATGAACCTTCCAGCCCCCAAGCCCCAGACCCCTTCTGCTGGACAGACAGTCTTCTCTTTACTCATCCTATTTCCTTCTCAATCTCAAGAATGACACACCCTAATCTTCTTCATGAGAGTAAACTCCACTGCCACTTATTGTTAATTTTACAAGTCAATGAGACTCTTCATGTAACTTATGTATTGATATTTAACAATTCTCTTGAAACATGACATCTTAAACAATAAATGTATTACCTTAGATGGCTCTGGAGGTCAGCAATTCAAATATGGTTTAGCTGGTCATTCTGGATCAAGGACCTTTATAAAACTGAAGACAAAATGTTTGCCAAGCAAAAAGTTAGCAAGACTTCATCTCAACAAACAAGCCAAATATGGTGTGTGCACTGTGCTCACAGTTACCTGGAGGCATAGGTAGGAACATCAGGATCAGAAGCTAGCCATGGGCAAAACTCTAGATTCCATATGAAAAATAGCTAAAGCAAAGAACAGGGCTGAGCATAAAGTCCTGAGTTCAAACCCTAGTACTGTAAGAATTTTTTTTAATAAAAAAGATACTTCTTAGGGGTACTCACCCAAATCTTGACCCATCTTACATGATATATTTCTAAAAAACAAAATTAACTCTGTGCTACTTAATGATAGGGGGAAAAAACAACATTTCTCACCACAGGGCCCTGTCCTAAAGGTTGCCTGGATGAATGACCTCATGGTATGGCACCTAACTTTCCAAAAAGCAACAGGGTCAAGACAAATACCTCAGAAAAAAAATCTGAAGGAGGAAAAGCTTATTTTTGGCTCATGGTTTGCAATGTTTCAGTACATAGCCCTTGGCTCTGTTGCTAGTGGGCTCATGGTGAGGCAGAATAGCATGGTGCCCGGTGCCTGTGGTAGAAGCTACTCATACAATAGTGGAGAAGAAGTAGAGAAAGAGGAGAAGAGGACAAGACCCAGCCCTCAAGGACAAAGCCTTAGCTATCTACTCCTCCAGCTCTATCTTCTAAAGTTTCCATAACTTCCCAAAACAGTGCTGCCTTGGGGAGACTGTCTTCAGCAACAAGCCTGAAAGGAACACATATTGAAACCATGCAAGTATGATTCTCCTCCTCCAGCATCCTCTCTGTACACTTTGGTAGTAGATTTAAGAGTATGAGTTTTTGTAATGTTTTTGGAGAAATATTAGGGAGTCTGTATGAAGTGGAATACTAGAGATGTCAGGAAGTAGAACTCTGCACAAGGAGACACAGGCCCCCAACAGAGTTTAGTTACCACAAGAGACACTTTCCTCAGGGAAAAAAAAAAGCACCTGATCATGAGCATGTTGGAAACTTTTGCTTACTGTAGATACTATTATCTATTGGAATGCTATAAAAAAAATCTTACTAAGGGACTGGGAAGGTATCTCAGTGGTACAGTGCTTGCCTCGCATGCATGAGGCCCTGGGTTTGATTCCTCAGCACACATAAACAGAAAAAGGCAGAAGTGGTGCTGTGGCTCAAGTGGTAGAGCGCTAGCCTTGAGCTGAAGAGCTGAGGGACAGTGCCCAGGGCCAGAATTCAAGCCCCATGAACAACAACAACAAAAATCTTACTAAGAAGCTAAATGGTTTCCCTGTGAGAAACACCATTGTCATTCAATGTCTGGAGAACTTCTCTCATCATTGGGTAACAAATGGTATAGCCATTTGTCAAGCAAGTTTGCTTGGTGCATTGACTCAAGCAACCAAATTCTCAGAATATAACCAAGTTTCAAGAAGATTAAAACTTTCTACTTTCAAGTTCCTAAAGCCTAGCACTGCTGCTTCTGCTTCTTTTGGGGCATCAGGTTATTAACCTGACGAGGAGTCCCCATTCAGCTTTAACTATGACATAGGCTCTTGGTTGAAATGTCTTTAGCTTAATCACTAGAAAAGGAAGGATCTTCCTTTTTCTCTACTTCAGGGGAAAAAACTGTCAAAGGGCTCTGGTTGACTCATTTTGGATCACATGATTATCTTGTAGAGTAGGGAGAAATGGAACAGTATGACTTAGTTGGATCAAGTGTTCATTTCTTGGAATACCTGAGAGCAGGGGAAGATGGGATCATCTGCTTAAAGGGTGAAGTATTTCCCCATATGAAGATATATGCCTTTCCTCAAGGAAATGAAAGCTTATTGCCAAGCAAAACAATACATGTTAATCAAACATCACCCTAAACTCTGTAACAACTCCCTTAATACTTCAACATGCAAAAATGATTAAAAAGCTTTTTTTGGGGGGGGTGTCCTGTCATGGGGCTTGAAATCTGGGCCTGGGCGCTGTCCCTCAGCTCTTCAGCTCAAGGCTAGCACTCTACCACTTGAGCCAGAGCACCACTTCTGGCTTTTTTCTTTTTTGCTTATGTGGTGCTGAGGAATCGAACCCAGGGCCTCATGCATGCAAGGCAAGCACTCTACCACTGAGCCATCTTCCCAGCCCTAAAAAGCTTTTTAAAAAATAGCTATTTGGATAATATTTACATGAACTTACTTGATTTTTACTTCTATTTTTATCAGTTGTTGAAGGCTCATGCCTTTTTTTATAAACTGTAAGAATGCACATGGTTTTTTTTAATCAATTCATATAATGTAAAAATCAATAGTTCAAACAAGAGGGTCATCTTTGATTATTTTATAGTGAGTTTATTATGAAACATAAGGGAAAAGTTGTTAAATTCGAATTCATAATTCAGATGCTCAGGCATAAGTCAAAAGGAGTCTACATAGAAATTAATAACAATCAGAGAATAGAAAAGCCTTCTTGGAGATGAATGGGAGTTTGTGTGCAAAAGGAAATTGAACAGTGGCTTAGAAGCTCAGCTGGAAGAATCCTTTCAGAACCTGAGGGGGGAAAATAATAAAATGATGGTTATAGAAAGAAGGGCATCAAAAAAATAAGATAGATCTGGAAGATCAAAAATCAATAGTAGCTTCAGAGGCAAGGAGGAAAACAGACAACTTCAAAGAAAAAAGAGGAAATTTCTCAGACCAGGCCAATATTAGACAAGATTAATGAAATAAGATTCATAACTAAACATAACATGGCAAAATGACCAAGCCTTAAAAATAAACACACTTTATAAACAGGCAGAAAGACTTTATAAAAAGTTTCCTGAGAAAGAAAGATAAATGGATTATATCACCCATAAACTTTCTTTTTAGTGAAATAAGAAGAAAATAATCCATCCACCAATTTTTTTTTTATGTTATTACTGTGTAATGTCCAGGGTTGGAGATAAAGCAGGGACCACACTGGAGAAATGAAACTACACAAGCAAAGAGAAGAAAACCAACCAGAACAAGTCATCTGGGGCTAGATGGAAAAAAAATGGTATTCTCATCACATTGAAAAATGGTAAATTAATTTTATTTTGTTTTTTTGTGATTCCTTGCCTCAGTATTAGGCCCAATTTTAAGAGTAAGTAAATTGAAAAGCTTTTATTTCTTCCTATGTAATTCCATAATAAAACAATCAGTATGAACACCCTAGGAGTTGTTTTTCCTTTTTCTCACTTAATACATGCTGCTTTTTACAGATTTATTTTTAATATAACAATGATGTTTTAATGTATAATTGTGTGTGTGTGTTTAGTGCCTCTTGCTCTCCCTTAGCTTTTTTAGCTCAAGGCTGCTGCATCACCACTTGAGCTATAGCTCCACTTTATGTTTTTTCTTGGTTAATTAGAGACAAGTCTCATGAAACTTTTCTGCCTAGGCTGCCTTTAAACCACAATGCTCATATCTCAGCCTCTGGAGTCGCTAGGATTATAGTCGTGAACCACCAGCGCCCTGTGAGTATAATCGTGATTTAAACAACCAGAAAGGAATCTTGCATCAAGTGATGGCGGTAGAATTTCTTAAGGAAAAACATTGGCCAGTGTTACAACGTACCCAAATCTCACTTCATATTTACTCAGAAAAACAAGCTATTATTTCATACCTCTACTCTACTAAGATGAGTTAATGGGGAGGATTTTTGCCAATAAGAACTTAATGATGACGCCTATTAAGATGGGGGAGGGGCGAATGGAGGAGGAGGGTAGAGAGTGGAACCCGAGATGGAAAGAGCTATACAGACTCTTACATAAAGCCTTTCAGGATTCTGTCCGTCAGGAGAAAGCTCCCCCATCCTGTTTTAAGTGCTAATGTATTCTGCTGCAGATCTCCTAGGATCAGGAAGAATGTTTTCTTTTCTTTTCCAATTTCCTTAAGCCAGAGGCTGAACCTCACACACAATCCCGTTTGAAACTCCAGAAGTTGGTGCAAAGCAAAAGGAGAAGTAGCCACTGGGAAGGTCAGAAAAGCCTGCGGCTGGGTCCTGCGACTTTATCCCTGCCCGGCCCCCCGCCCTCTGGGGAAAGGGCCGCGGCGTCACGTGACCCGGCGGCTCGCCCAATCAGCGCAGCTCTCGGAGTTATTCAAATCGGCGGCGGGGTGTACAGCCCTGCATCCCGCTGCGTGCTTTTTCCTCCACCTCCACCATGGCTGCGACCTGGCGCTGACTATGGACGGTCGGGGTGGGCCTCCCGGGCCCTATCGGGCCACCAAGCTGGTAAGACCACGCGGGACCGGACGGCGCGGTGGCGGCGGCCGCCAGTTTTACGCAGGGCGCAGGGATGGGAACCTCTAGGCCTCTGCGGAGCCAGGTGCGGGCGCTGGCCCAGCTTCTCCCGGGCTCCGGAGGGTCTGGGCCTCCGCTCCGGCCGCCGATCCCCACCCCACCTCCACCCCGCAGCCGCCGGGACGGGCGAAGCGCCCAGAATCCTCCTCGAGCTCGCCGTGTCGCACGACTCCTGTGTCCGGGGGCTCCTGGGTCCTGCAGCCCGAAAGGACTGAGCCTATTTCAGCTCTGCCCTGGCCCCTGGTTTCCACCCCTCCTGAATCAGAGAACTTGGAAACGGAGTTCCATCACTTGGGGGGGGGGGAGGATCGAATGGAGGGAAATTCATTATAAAGGTTTTGAAGATTGGGCCTGTTAAAATTTTAATGCAGGTCGTGCAGACCGGAGAACTGCCCATTCTAAACTAAACAAACACAGACCTGGAGCGTTGTGGGTGGTGACTGTAGCTATCTATACAATAGACGTTATCTGAGCTTTGGGATTTTCAATTCTATTTTCACACCACCAGCCTAGAACAGTTGCTGTGGAGACCTACGTCTCTGAGTCGGTTTCCAACTTCAGGTATTTCCTGAGAGGACACTGTAGAATAAATGTGTTGTGGAAGTTATCCTCTCAGGAATGCCCTTAGGGTGGGTACCTAAACTATTACTCCCCTTGGCCAGTGTGGAAATTGAGGTTCCAACAATGACTGACTCTTTTTTTTTTTTTTTTTTTTTGGGTCCGGTCGTGGGGCCCGAACTCTGGGCCTGGGCACTGTCCCTCAGCTCTTCAGCTCAAGGCTAGCGCTCTACCACTAGAGCCACAGCGCCACTTCCGGCTGAGGAATCAAACTCAGGGCCTCAGGCATGCAAGGCAAGCGCTCTACCACTGAGCCACCTTCCCAGCCCATGACTGACTCTTAAAGTCACAAAATCTGTATATGGGCTCTTGTCATAAAGTCTGCCATCCAGCAAGTCATTGATTATAATTACCAACATAAGGGATAGAATGTATGACCAGTAGAGATCTGAGTGATCTAGATCTAGCACATTATTGAAAGCTCATTACATCAGATAAAACTAGTACAAGTACTCTGAGTGGAGGGAGGACAAAAAAATATGTATTTACTAGTACTTTATGTGCAATAAGTAATTTTATCAATACCAATATGTTGGTTCTAATGTTCACATTTTAGGAATAAGGGTAATGAGGCCCTGAGAATTAAAGGCCAAAGTGTATAAACAAGTGGTAAAATTAAAGCTGACAACTAAACTTTCATCATCCACTCATAAAACCAAGTTAGATAGATACATTGCATGGATTGATAGGCAGATGTAAAAAAAATCTATTACATGAAAATATAACTATGACCCTAAAATTATTAAAAAGGAGCCCATAACATAATAAAATTTTATGAAGCAGGAATGCCTCTTTAAGAATTCCGTACAGTATAATCAGAGGTGAAATTAAAGAATTTTAGAATTCTTTAGAATTAATTTTAAATTCAGGAGATTTCATCTTCATTGAATGTTTTTAAAAAAAAATCCCTTCTTTTTGCAGTGGAATGAAGTTACCACATCTTTCAGAGCAGGAATGCCTCTAAGAAAGCACAGGCAACACTTTAAAAAATACGGTAATTGTTTCACAGCAGGAGAAGCTGTGGATTGGCTTTATGACCTGTTAAGAAATAACACCAATTTTGGTCCTGAAGTTACAAGGCAACAGACTATTCAGCTATTGAGAAAGTTTCTTAAGAATCATGTAATTGAAGATATCAAAGGCAGATGGGGATCTGAAAACCTTGATGACAACAACCAGCTATTCAGGTAGTAAACAGATATATCTATGTACTTGCGAAATGAAATGACTGTTAAGTTTTACCTCTAGCTTATTGTATTTTTACTACAATAGTGGCTTCTTTAAGAAAAAAATATATAGGTACATTTTTATTTTTTAGAAAGTGTTACTGGTTTTAAACTAAAACCATTTAGAAAAATCGTTAAGGTCAAAATTATATACTATAAATGCAAACTTTTTCAGTAACCTTTAGTTTATATTACTTTAGTTTCTTAGACTCTGTAATTACAAGACAAATTCACAGATCCTTGTCGTCAAATAACATAAGATGTAAAACAAATAATAGAAGACATAAACCACAGGTTAAAAGAGAATACTAATTAAAACCATACCAGAAACTCTGATTTACGATATACATTTTTTTTATTGAGTTCCCAGAGTAAATGAGCAGGTTACGCATTAAACGTTTTTACAAGTGGCCCATCATATTGGAACAAATCTTGTTCTTTGTTTCTGACCTTTTTTCTACCTTGAAGCAATGTACACATTGTAAGAGTAATAAAACTATTCATCTCTTCTCATCTCAGCTCTTTGGTAACCTCTTTGGATACTTCCCTGCCTCCTCTGGCTGTCACAGTTACAGATACCCAGAGTTCTTTGTGAAATGTCCATTAAACTGGGTCTTTCAGTTCTAAAGCCCTTGATTTTTTTTAAACTCCATTACTACTTTTCAAATGAAATGTCTTAGAAGTGGATCTTTTCCCATTACTTTAGTTCATTTTTTGTTGGTAAAACAGAACGTGTGAGACTAGGTAGTTGGTAAAGAAAATTTATTTTGACTAGAAGTGAGGTCCTCTGGTAGCTTTATGGCATGACAGAAAAGCAGAGAAGCAGACAAGCAATTGCAAAAGAGGCAAAACATGAGGGAGGCTCCTGTTTTTATTATAACTAATGTAGTCCTTCTTAAATTAGAGCTTCCCAAAAAAAGTATTAATCCAACCTGGGACTAGTAACTCACAACTGTAATCCTAGCTACTCAGGCTGAGATCTGAGGGTCAAGTTGGTTAGCCAGCCTGAGCAGAAAAGTCCATGAGAATTATCTCCAGTTTACCACTAGAAAACTGGAAGTGGCATTGTGGCTGAGATAGAGCACTAGCCTGGAGTGATAAATCTCAGGGACAGCACTCAGGCCTTGAGTTTGTGCCCTACAACCCACTAAATAGATAAATAAATAATCCTTCTAGTGACCTAATCACTTCTTCAAGGTCCTATCACATCTCTTTCCCTGTACATTGGAGATAAAACATCCACCGTGAGTTTCAGATGCAACACGCACATACCAACCAAAAGTTTCCCATCATACAATTAAAGTGCAGTTGTAAGCATGTTAAATTGTCTATTTTATAGAACACTATAAAATGTTCCTAATTAGACTGCTTTGCCACTACTTTAAGTATAATTCATCTTCAAGGTGTGGGCTTACTGCTCACCTTAACCCTGTCTTTTTTTTTTTTTGGGGGGGGGTCCGGTCACGGGGCCTGAACTCTGGGCCTGGGCACTGTCCCTCAGCTTTTCAGCTCAAGGCTAGCACTCTACCACTTGAGCCACAG